GGAGAGGAAAAAAATATGAGAAACTGAAAAAATGGAAATAAAATGTTTGTAAATGGGGAGGGGAGGAGGGGGTGAAGGGAGGGCAGGGACAAGGGGAAAAATGAGAATCAAGACCTATTATGTAAAGGTACAGAATCCCAATGATGAATGTAATTGTATTGTATACCTAAATTGTACCAATAACCTCAATAAAAAGAAAAAAAATAATTTATGTTGTCTTTTAAATATTTAAAAATGTGTAGATTTTCTTCCTTTCCTCTCCTTTCCCTACAGTTTAACAGCTGAAGAATTGGGCTATTTGACCTTAGAATTCCCCACTAGCCTAGATTTTTCTGATTATAAACTTACACTGCTGCTCAGCATGTTCTTCTGTCCTTTGTATATTTTATGAATTGACAATTAATTCCAAGGCTTCACCAGACTCAGGTGATAACACTTTGACGTGGCTATAGGTAGTGTTCTTTTATAGGGAAGCACATACTCTCTGATTGTCTCTTTTGGGCTGTTAATAGCTGTTTCTGTTCAGTGTCTAGAATTAGCCATTCACTGGTTGCAAAATTGTGATACTCTGATTATATCATATCTGTTTTAGCTATTAATTGCAATGCTTTTATAAAGAGATATTTCCCTTTTTATTTGGTTACTCTGGTTCAGTTTCTGTGGGAAGGCAGGATAAATGCCTTTTTGTTTGTTAACAGTTTTCAAGGAAATGAATTAGTTCCCTGTCACTCAAAAGTTTGATTACTCTATCAATATTTATTCTCTCCTGTATATGCCTTTGTAAAAAGGGAATTGGCTCCTGTTCTAAAATTTGCTTATTGTGTATTCCAGAGTATATTTGTTGACTGTGGGTTCTCTTGCTTTCACATCCAACAGACAGCCCAGTGCTTTCCTCTGCTCCATCCTGGTCAAATACTAATGCCATACACATCTTGTGGCATTGGTTTGTCCCAGCTAATTGTATTTTGGATTTGATATCTTATCACCTAGTTGTTGTAAATGATTTATTTGGAATTTTGGTTTTGCTGTCTAATTGTTTAGTCTGTTTCTTATTTGGAAATCAGGGACATTAAATAGCAACAAAAAAATTCACTGCCACCAGTGTCATTGTTCTAGAAAGGAATTTAGTTATGGAAGAGTTAGGATGGAATTGAGAAGAACTTTGAAATTTCTGACTTTGAAGAACTGGTGGGTGGTAATTTCATCAATGAAGATTTAAAAACAGAAGAAAAGTAGTAAGTGGAAGATCAGATCAATTTTTTATATCTTAGGTTTGGAATGATTATGAAATACTCAAATAGAAATTAGAAACTATGTTTCTAGAATTTGAGAGTGTTAGGTGATGAACAATTTGAGAGTGTCCAAAGCCATTAAAAATAGGAAAATGTTATTTATGGTAAAAGTTTTGAGAAAAACCGGTAGAGTAGAAAGTATGTACTTAGAGGTTAAAGAAAAATTAACAATAAACATTTTTAACTAGTTGTTGCATGTATTTTTCATAAATATGCACAGCAGATACATTTAGTTTAGCAGCAATCCAAAGAGAAAGCCATTGTTCAAAGACACATTTACTTGGATGCAACTGGTATTTTGGTCACTGATTGTAGGTGTCATATATGTTAGGTATAATATTCAGAGAATGGATTTATAAAATCTGAGTATTTTCCTATTTGAGAACCTAGATAAATGCATTAAGTATTCACCAGCTGTAAGTTTTGGGGTTTTTTGTTTTTTGTTTTATTTGAGTAGACTGAAGTATACTATCACAGAAACTCTATTTTTAAAGCATGGGAAAAATTCTTTTCTCTTATGAGCTATTCAGATATTTCTAAGGTCCTATAACCAGATTTTTCAAGCAGTACTTATATTTGGGCACTTCCTTTTAAAATTTTCATTAGTGTTTATACCAAACCAAATGATTTAATTTTAACCTCTGTCTCTTTTCCTTTTCTATTTTTTTCTTTTTAAAAAAAATCAGGCCAGTCTTCAGAAACCTGAGATTAGACTTGAATCACTAAAAGAAGATATTAAAGAATTCTTTAAGATATCAGGTTTGTAATTTTTCCCCCTAATTCTTTAAGTATCCTCAGACTTTTAGTCACTTATTCAAACTTGTAGAAACTGGCTGAACAGGTTACTACTGGGAAGAACTGGAACTGTCAGATATTAATAAGATGGTACAAAAATTCAGCAAAACAGTGGGAATGACTGCTCCAACGACTGCTTCAAAGCTGACTAGCTTTAAGTAGTGTTTGTCTTCCTGGTTTAAAATGTCCTCCATGTGGTAATTATGTCCTTAGTTAAGTAAGTTGCTTATAAATTTTCAGTGTGGCTTTTTCCTTTTACGTTATTTTTCTGTTTTCTATTCTTTCAAAGAAAACCAGAAGAAAGTCTTAATCTTTCTGCAGAGTAAGGAGAGTCTCTCTATACCATCCCTTGCACACAGGAACTGAGATATTGCTGGTCACAAGTGGAAGGATCTATTTCTGCTGTCCAGTTTCCTAACTAGTTAATTGTACCTAATAACTTGTGATCTGTGTCAGCTGCCAACTGATTTTGCCCTGCCCCTTGGCACATCTGCCATGGCACCTATAGGGCTACAGCCAAAGATTTTGGCACCCATTGAGCATCTTGATAATGGCGGAATGAAATCTTCCTCTTATCTTGAGCAAACGTGCAATCATTTTATTTAAAAATATTGTGTTGATGTCTTTGCTTCTCAGTACTAGCTGAGGGCCAAGTAAGTGTTCAGGAAATAATTCCTTAATGTTAATTTACAGTGTCTGACACTTGACAAAGTTCTTTCACAAGTGAATATAATGGCAAAGATTTAGTAAGTTGAATTTCATTATGATGTATGTTTATTTTTAAAAACTAATATTTTCATACAATTTACTCTCTTTTAAAAAAAACAGGTTGGGAGAAGAAACTTCAGAATGCTGTTTATAGTGAACTGAATGTGTGAGTTTTTTTCACCTATTTTGAAATACGGTTTTGTTTAGCTATATTTACTTTCTAAGGAATAAAATCAGTATTTTTATATATATTATATTTCTGTATATATTGTATTACCATTTATCATTAGGATTTATCAGGAATTTTAAGTAAGTTGATGCAATAAAAAATTACTACAATTTCCAGATGGGGTGACATATGCCTGCAGTCCCAGCACTTGGGAGGCTGAGGCAGAAGGATTATTGCAAGGCCAGACTGAGGCTATATAATGAGTTCAAGGCCAGCCTAAACTCCATAGTGAGACCCTGTCTCAATGAAAAAAATTATTATTACTACGTCTTGCCTGAGAATTGTTAAGGAATAGGTGAGGATTTTTTTTTTTAACCAATTCTTTCTTTTTGTTGTTGTTTTGATACCAGGGATCAAACTCAGGACCTTGCGCTTGCTTGCAAGGCAGGCAGTGGCACCACTGAGCTCAATCCCCGGCCCCAATTCATTCATTTTTCACAATTCATTCATCCAGTATTATTAGGGAATGAGGTATTTCTCTTAATATTGCAGATAACTAAAGCTTACCATCATTCTTTTTATATGTAATTTTTATAAACTGACCATTCTAAAGATAATTACATTTTCCTTTGCAAAATTGGTGTCATTATTAAGAGCATCAATCATTTTGTTTATCTAGAATTACCAACAGGGTAAGATCTATAGAACTATTTGTCATTACAAAAAAATACATCCTGAACATTAGCTTTTGTAGTTTATCTCATTATTCATCACATATCTACTGTGTACCAGTATTATGCTAGGCACTGGGGTGTTGTATAGAAAGATAAAATACTCTTAGGAATTTATAGTCTGCATTGTTATGTCTGCTATTTTTTCTCTTTTCTCTCTATCTCCTTTCTTTTCTTTTTATTGCTATCACTTTGTCTGTTTTTAGCATCTCAAGTGTCTAATATTTTCTTTTCCAAGTTGCCCCTTCAAATCTCCTGTTCACTGTGAAATGAGATAGCCTACCTTTACCAGACTATTTCTAAAATACTTAGGTGAAGTCTGTGGATAAATGATTTTGATACAAAATTTTTCTCAGTTAGTGTTTTTGCTTCTTCACTTATTACCATGTTCCCAATTGGCTTTTGAATTCTTGAATTCTGCCTGTTAATTGACATTGGCTATGACCATACTTTTGGTAGTACAAGTCACCACATACAGAGGTTATATCAACTGGAAAGATTCTTAATTCACAACATATAATGTAGTAGACATAATGATATAAGTATCTAGTAGAGAGGCCTATGATTTTACTCATGATACTATTTTTGTGATCTGACACATTTTTAAAAATAGCTTTGTGTGACATGCACTTGTTTTAATTGATGACAGGGACTGTCTGTCTTTCATTATCTTTAATATCCTAAATAATAGAACTTGAAATAAGTATTTTAAGTAACTTGTTGGGAGTTTTGTAGAAGCTCACTAATACTACCTTTCTTTTTCATTTGGGTTCTGAACAAATGGATAAATGATGTAAAACAGAATGGTAAATGGGAGAACAAATGACATTTTTGTCCCAAATAAAGATTAGGTAGGAGAGCAGAGCTCAGGGAGAGAGCAAAGTGAGTCCCTCCAGTGAATTTCAGAATTAAATAGACTTAACATTTTAGCCAAAAATTATTGGATCAGGGTAAGCATGCTCAGTATATTCTTCCCAAATATAAAAGTTGAAATATTATCTGTTGTGTAGTTTGTGTAAGCCTGGAGAAGCTGGAACGTTACAGTAATAGAGCTCTTTTCACATGGAAAGGCACATGGAGAGTGGGGAAGAAGTGTTTCCCCTAACATAAAGCAAAACATAAAGTGCACTTAGCATATTCTGTCACCTTTTTATTGGCAGTTACCTTTATATGGGTCAGTAAAGAAAGCCAAAGATAAAGTAGGAATATTCATTACGTAACACTAAATAATTGAAGCTGAACACACATACATGTGCACACACACACACACACACACACACACACACACACACACACACACACACACACACACACACACACACACTCCTGGCTAATAGATGTATGGAATTCAAACAGGTTAACTCTTCCACTTCAGATTTTGTACTTTGTTTAGTTATTTTTTCCACTAATTTAAAGCAGTTACTTACATATTTATTATTGTGCTAATAACTATTCAATGCTATATTAATGATAATTTGTATTTCATTAATATAAGCATTTATATGCATTTAAGGTAATTTCATAATTACCCTATGAAGTCGAATTTATTATTATCATCAATTAGCAGAAGAGAAAACAGGCTTAGAATTTGTCTTGCTCTGTTCTATGCTTCTGAGACTATACCTGAGACGGGATGCTGCTCAGTTTGAAGGCCCTGGGTTCAGTCCCTGGTGACACACACACATGCACAAATACACACACACTGAGTTCAACAGAAGGGTTTAGAACACTAAACTATGTGTACCTTTACAATGGATGTATTACGCAATGTAAGATGGCTTTTAAACTGCCTTGCATGTAATACCAGAAATACTGAGATATCCAGAGCCTATCAGTTTTTTAAAAATTTCTGAGTGGGGAAAGGTACACAGAATGCAGTTTGTAGGAAAGGTGATTTGTCAGAAATAATCACTTAGTGAAACTGCCTTAAAGATTAGATGGGATAGGTTGCTCTTTCCCATCGCAGAAATGTTTCTTATGGACAGCTGAACCCTTTGTGTCTCGGCTGTGGGACACAGGTGATTTGGAGTATTACGAATCCTCCGTATGCTGCTGTCCCACTTTGGACCAGACATTGCTCGAGACTTTAGTCTGTGGTTCTTGATTACTGGAATATGGTTGTTTTGGTGTAGGTACAAGTCATAAGTCCTAGACTAATTTCACTGTATCACTGTGAAAGAGATTATTGAACCATTGTCTGTTCCTTTTGCCTTTCTGCATATGATTTCATACCGTCTGCACTTTAATCATTCTGTTCCAACTATTTTGGCCTTTTCTGCTCATTAAACATCCTAACATTCCCACCTCAGAGTCTTGCATTTGCTGTCACTCTGTCCAGAACATTCTTCCCTTCCTTCTCTGAAAGGCTGGCTCCTTCTCTTGTCTTAGTTCAAGTGCCAGATTCCCCACAGGCCTTCAGAGTTCTCCAAATTACTTCTGTTTTCTCATGGCACTTATTATTATTTTATATGTTTGTTTGTTTTCATAATTATTGTATGTTTTAACTAGAAGGTTAAGTCCCTGAGAACAGTGGATATTTTCTTAATCACTACCATGTATTTAGTACCTAAAATGGCTTAAATATTAATGAACTAAATTTCTCTTGTTATAAAAAGTATATAATTTAAATAAGAAATGTAATATTACTTGGAAAGCAAAGAATGCATAATACATAAGATTTAAAAATTTTGTTAAATTTGTGAATTTGTGTATTATATATTAAAACATGGCTATTATCAAAAGTAATGTTCATGTTATTTAAATTATTATATATATATCTATATATTTAGTCATATAGACAGGAAATTGGCAGAAATGAAATGAGTTGACATATTAGCAAGTTAATGGATTTTTTAACCTTAAGAATTCCTCTTAAAGTTATAATATTTATATCTTATGATAATTTTTATATAACCACTTGTAGTCATTATCACAATTGAATTCAGCTTATGCACTTTAACTTTTAACATGCAATTAAATTTTTTTTTGCAATTAAAATTTTAATTTGGAACTTATATGATAGTATTAAAGTTTCATTAGACCTTGTACCTTGTATAGATACATAGAACTAAGTAACAAATACTCTTTTATTTATAATATGGACTATAGAGATAATTAACTTCTTACCAAGAAAATTAATTATCAAGAGTAATGTATAATATTTAACTGCCTCTTTTTGCTTGTAGGTATCCTTTACCTAGCCACCCTGCTGCACCTCCTGAACATCTTAAAGAGCCTTTGGTATACATGAGAAAAGCACAGGTTGGCTACTCACTTTCATTTTGTTTTCCCACGTCAGGTTATGTAATACAGAGTCAGATTCTTAATGATGTCAGCAAAATATTTTATTCATTATATGAAAGAATGAATGAAAGCCACTAAAGTGTTGTTAATGGTACCTTAATATTCTTCCTTTCTTTTTTCAGTAACCAAGGGTCATGCTTATTTAACTATAGTAATACTAGAGAAACAGAGTAGAAAATCACTTACCATACTGGCCAGAAATATAAAATATGATAAAAATATTAAATGACAATCTGTTCTTCATGATTTATGATACTGAAAGAATGAAATGTAAGTGAACTGACATTGTTTTAATGTTTTGTTTTTTTTTTTACTTTTGAAGTCCATGTTACTGAAACTGTATTTGAAATACATTTGTTCTCACAGCAGCTTGTCACATACATGCCAATGGACTAGCAACAACTGAGAGTCACTTTAAAGGGATAAACTAATTTAAACAATAAATCTAGAAAAATCTGTTAAAATAGAAACTCTGTAAGCTCCGTCACATGCTGTCTGTCCACTCTTGTGACTGTTGGTCCCAGCCCCTGCCCCGCCCTGCCAGCCTGATCCTCCCTCCTCTTAGTGCTGGGTGGGGCTCTGTGACTACCAGCAAGGCAGTGCTCTGGGATGTCACAGAATTGACCTTCACTCTCCACCATGAACTCAGAAATGGATTTTTTAAATCTTTTTGTTATGAAAAATTTCAAATATACTCGAAGAACACCCATGAGCCTATCACTTGGCTTTAACTATTACCATCATGGTTCTGCCTCTCCTGAAAATTTTCTGCTCTTTTAAGTTGCCATGTTACACCGAAGTGGACTTTAGGCATATTTTTATTTTTCAGCTTTTATTTTCATTTTGAAAACTCTCCAGCCAGAGATTTAGCTCAGTGGTTCCGCCATCTGCCTCGCAAGCTCACGGACCTGAGTTCGATCCCCGGTACATAAA